ATACATATATACATGCAGGTTTAACCAAGTCATTGTGTCTATAAAATGTTCCAAATGTGTTGACAATGACACATGCCCAATAATATGTTGTGTGTCATTTGGGTACTTTTAAGAGTGTATACTGAAACTCCCAAGCTTTTCTAATGGGGATACTCCGTATACATAGACACATAGACTACACCACTGCTCTGACAGCTGCCAATAAACCTTTAAATGTTTTAAAACAGTATATTTAATATCAAACTTAATGCATAATTAAAAAAAATTATAATCTGTTTTAAAACCCTCATTTATCAAAACTTTCAGTTCGTTCAGGAATTATGAGATTTTTATTAATGAGCTGAAAGTTTCAAAACTTATTTTATTTTATTTACAAAAACTGTCCACTGCAGTTCCATCAAACACCTTGTTCTCAGAAATCTCCTTCAGTAAATTCACTTTATCTTGCTTAGCATCTTTTAGCTTTTAGCTACTGATTTTAGCTTTGAGTTACAATTTTGCTCCAGATTTGCTCACTTAAACCGTGATTTTGATATTTTTGGCTTTAAGCTTCTGTTTTGTTAGCGTTTATCAATGGTTGTGAGTTATCTTTATTTAGCTAATTTTAGCTTTCTATAAAAATGTAGTTAATTTTAGCTTTGAATTTAGTTTAGTTTTTCCATTTTATTTTGTGCTTTTGTGTTCTACAATTCATCAGAGTTTGTTTTTAAGAACATAAAGCTCAGGTGGTGTAAAGTAATTTAAGGTTTAAAGCACCAGAGGTTCTGGTCTTCTGACTCGACCCACGCGGGGATACCTGCTCTAAAATGTTTTCTTTGGCCTCCTGCCCAGCGACACCTGGTAAACGAACCAGCTCTTTGCGCATGCGTAATGGGCCGCCAAAATCCCAACACCGACTCCCCTGACAAGCAGTGGTGTTTCGTTCTGTCCAGAGACCGGGTCAGAGGACAGGATCGGAGTCCAGAGCAGGGTTTTAGATCTGGGGCCACTTCAACATGCCGAGGTCCTTCCTGGTGAAGAGCAAACGGGCCCACAGCTACCACCAGCCCCGCTGCCTGGACGATGACTGCAGCAGGCTGGACACTGTTCTGGCTCGCGTGTGCGCAGGTGGGTTCATTTTGTGCGTAATTACGCACGGAAGAATGTGAACTTTACCCTGAACGAGAACGAGACTTCCTTCAAGGAGATGGTTAAAATATAATATTCTCTGGTGTTATCAGGGACCAAGTCTCAGGAGGAGTTCGGGTCCAGCTCGGAGCTGCAGGAAGACGTGAGCGGCGCTGAGCGAGGGTCCCCGGGCTCCCTGTCCTCCAGCTCCCCGCTGAACTGCAGGGGCAGCGACAGGTCCTCGGACTGTGACTACTGGAGACCACCGTCTCCGTCCTCCTCACCAGGTGGGAAACTTAGAAAAGTTTGTGGCCATCTAAAAAAAGTTTTAAAATTCATCATCCGAGCTGTCAAAAGTTTAAAAACAAACAAACAAACAAACAAAAAAAAAAAAATACGAAATGAGTCAGAGGAAAAAAATCTGGAAATTTTATTTTTTACTGTTGAGATGAGAATAATCAAATAGAGATTTATATGTTTTTTTTCTGCAGAAACAATGTTTGTAAAAACAAAAAAGACGCACAGATGTGACTAAACTGATTGTGTGTCGTGTTGACCCGTTTGGTCCAACAGTCTCACTCATGTCCCCCAATGATCCCCAGAGTCAGACAAGTGTCGCCCCCCCTCAGCGGACTTCAACATCCCGCTCTTCTCTTACCCCTGGTCCGCCTTCTCGGGCTCCGAGCTTGGGCACCTGGCTCAGAGCCACCTCCGGGGCCACGGTGGCCCCCGCTCCCCGGCTGCGGAGGACAGCAGAGGGGAGGTGCTTTACGCACGGCGGGACCTCGGGGCCGGATGCTTTCGGGACTTGTCCCCCGCGGCCCGCAGACTCTGCAGGATGCGGGATGGAGAGGAGTTCACGCAGCCGCGCGCGGCGGAGATCAAGTCCGAGGAAGACTTCATCGTGTCCAGCCTGGAGACAAACGGGTCCTACAAGTGCATCAAGTGTTGTAAGGTACAGCTGCGGGGGGGCTGAGGGTTGGTTCACCTGAGCAAATCACAGGCTCACCTGTGATTCGTCCCGCAGGTGTTCTCCACTCCGCACGGGCTGGAGGTTCACGTGCGACGCACACACAGCGGCACGAGGCCGTTTGAGTGCGGGATCTGCGGGAAAACCTTCGGACACGCAGTGAGTTTGGATCAGCACCGAGCAGTCCACTCACAGGTCAGTCCCAGGCCGAGCCCCGCGGGGCCCAACCCCCCAAAAGCGGCTAAAGCTCCGTTTTCATGAGGATCCTGGTTCTGTTTTCAGGAGAGGAGCTTCAGCTGTAAAATCTGCGGAAAGAGCTTCAAGCGCTCCTCCACGCTCTCCACGCACCTGCTCATCCACTCGGACACGCGGCCGTATCCGTGCCAGTACTGCGGGAAGAGGTTCCACCAGAAGTCGGACATGAAGAAGCACACCTTCATCCACACAGGTGAGGAACAGTGACCCGAGCACCTGGCCCACAGGAGTGACGTCACTTTTATTTTTTACTATTAGAAACACTGAGATGCCTTCAGAAACATTGTTCTCTTCGAAATCAGCTTAAGCTGTTTTGTCTCCATGCTACTTTTAACTTTTAGCTGCTACTTTTGTTAAGCTTTTTGTTGCTATTTTTAGCTTGCTAGTACTTTTAGCTTCTCACTATAGCTTTTTGCTACATTCAGTTTTGTTTTACATTTTAAGTAACAAAATAGCAAATGGACAGCTTCTGTCCTGCTTATTTTAGCTTTCATGTTTCTCCTTGTAGCTTTTCGCACCTGTTTTTAATTGTAACTGTTTTTATTAACGTTATCAGTTTTATTTCAGCTTTTGATGGCGTTATTAGCGGTTTGCCACTTTAAGCTGCTACCAATTTGTAAATTTTAGTTTTTTGCTAGTCTTTTGCTATCTTGAGCATTTTCATGACTTTTTGCTACCTTAGCTTTTAGCTATTGTTTAGCTATTTTTAGCTTCTAGCTAGCTTTATGCTGCATTCAGTTTTTAACTACTTGAAACAACAAAAATAGCAAATGGACAACTTCTGCTTCTTTTTGCTTTCATGTTTTTCCTTGTAGCTTTTAGCATCTGTTTTTAATTTTAACTGTTTTATTAACCTTATCAGTTTTATTTCAACTTTTGATAGCTTTAGCTAGCTGTTTGCCACTTTGTTTCTACCATTTTGTCAATTTAATTTTTTAGCTATAGTCTTTGGCTATCTTGAGCATTTTGATAACTTTTTGCTACCTTTAGCTTTTAGCTATTGTTTTGCTACTTTTAGCTTCTAGCTAGCTTTTTACTATATTTACGTTTTAGCTACCATTTTACAACTCATTTTGCTCATAGGTAGCCTTTTGCTATCTTATGCTTTTAGCTAGCTATTATCTTGAGCATTTTGATAACTTTTTGCTACCTTTAGCTTTTAGCTACCGTATTGCTATTTTTAGCTTCTAGCTAGCTTTTTGCTGCATTTTGTTTTTAACTACATTAAACAACAAAATAGCAAAATGACAACTTCTGTCCTGTTTCTTTTAGCTTTCATGTTTCCCCTTGTAGCTTTTAGCATCATTCAGCTTTTGATGCCTTTAGCTAGCCATTTGCCACTTTAAGCTTCTAGCTACTATTTTGTGGATTGTAGTTTTTAGCTAGTCTTTTGCCATCTTAAGCATTTTGATAACTTTTTGTTACCTTTTGCTTTTAGCTATTGTTTTGCTTATTGCTATATTTACCTTAAGCTACCATTTTGCAACTCATTTTGCTCATAGCTAGCCTTTTGCTACCTTGTGTTTTTAGCTAGCTTTTTCCTACTTTTAGCTATTGTTAAGCTGCTTCTTTTGTCTACCATTCTTTTCAAACATAGCGTCTGTTTGGCTAACTTTAACAGCTGTTTTGCTAATTTTAGCATCATTTTGCTAATTTCAGTTTTTGCCACTTTAGGTGTGTTGCTTCTTTTAACTAGCATTCACTTTTTTATACCTTTTAGCTAGTCCTGGTTCATTTAGCTTCAGTAATTCAGTTTCAGCCTCTTCAGCAGTCATTTAGCTTGCAGCATTCAGCTGAACCTGTCCTTATTTCCAGGTGAGAAGCCACACAAGTGTCAGGTGTGTGGGAAGGCGTTCAGTCAGAGCTCCAACCTGATCACACACAGCCGGAAGCACACGGGCTTCAAACCCTTCGGCTGTGATCTCTGCGGGAAAGGTTTCCAGAGGAAGGTGGACCTGAGGAGACACAAGGAGACGCAGCATGGACTGAAATGAGCTCCTCAGGTCATGGTTTAGTTTGCTGTATCGACCTGCTGTTTTCTTATTTAACTTTAATTTTTATTTATCATTTAACTTTTTATTGTTATTATTATTATTATTATTATTAAAAGGAAAAGCGAAGTGTTTAATTTCCAAGGCTGAATTTCAATTGATTTGTTTTTAGTGACGGATTAAACAGGAGCTCAAAGAACGAGTTTATTTCTTTTGTTTGTTTTTCTGGTTTTAGTTTATTTTGTTTTTGCAAACTACTTCTGTACACTTTATGCTATTTTAGCCATTCTTTTATAGTTCGGCTCGATTGGGAGCAATGCACTATGACTTTAATACTTCTAATTATATTATATATAATATTTACAACAAAAAAACCCAGACATTGTGATTTTTTCATTCATTCAAAAACTTAATTCCTAAAATCTACTTCAGCTTTGCCATTTTTGTCTTATTGCACTACTTTTAGCTACTGTCTTGCTAATTCTAGCTTCAAGCAAGTTTTGTTACATTTAGCTTTTAGCCAAGGTTTAGCTAATTGTATTCTTTTAGCAACAGTTTTGCAAAATTTGTCTTCAGTTATTTTTCTCATTTTTAGCCGATTTTAGCTTTTAACGACAATTAATACAATATTTTTTCTTTAGATTTTAGCTACTTCATACAGATTTGCTAATTTTAACTCATATAAACTGTTTTGCTAGCTTTGTTCTGCAAAACAGTTCAACTAATTTTAGTAAAGTCATTCAGCCTTTTTAAAACTTTTATACATAAAATGAAGTTTCTCTAGTTGTTCTTGGTCCGATTTGTTGTGAAAAACAAGAAGCTGAAGTTAACTCGTGCAGACCATCAATCACGTCCCCAGACCCCCGTGACAGCTCAGAGTCGATATCTCCGTCCTTCAGCAGAGGAACGTTTCGCTGCGTGCGCCATCTGGTCAAAACCAAATATTCTCAGGCAAACGAGTCGTTCACATACTCATATAACAAATGACATGATGGCGCCATAAAACGCCACATAAAGGAAGTGTGAGGGAGCAGAGCAGCTTTTATTACAGTGGAGACGCTGCTAACTGCAGCATCAGTGTTTTTATGGGGAAAAGCTGGGTGTGATTTTTTTATTTATGTTTTAGCTCTGCAGAAGTTAAACATCCACAGCTCCAAGGATCTGATTTGCACACATCCTACCACAGCTTGTGTACATAGAGCTGCTGTGCACTGCGCTCAATCAGTTCATGAGAACGAGCTCAACAGAAAAACAAAACTTTTTTTATTGTTAAATTGTTTTAATTATGAAAAACGTGCTGCTGCTTCAAAAAAAACTAACAACCCCCCCCCCCCCCCCCCCCCCCCACCTTGCTGGATATTTTATATCTGCATGCCTACTGGTGTGGGTGTGGTGGAGATTTGAACATCTGGACTAAGCTGAGAAGGTCCTGCTCCTGCAGGCTGAGCTCCTCCATCAGTGTGTTCAAGTACTGCAGCGACGCCGACGTCTCCAAGGCCTGCAGCACCACCGGAGACACTGCCGACAACCTGAAACACACCAGAACGTGCTCAGACAGGACAGCACATAAAAGCAAGCACGTCTGAGAATGAAGCCCTGAAACTTTAGGTCACATTTGAGTAACGTAAAAAAACAAAAAGTACCCGAGCCACAGATGCAGGATGACATGACGTTTGTGGTGAAATGTTTCACCTTCAATCCAGAAGGCTTTATCAGTCAAGGAAACGCATAACACAAAACTTAATCTTCCCCCAGCAGCTTACTCCAAAGTGGAACAAACCAGTTATGTTGGTGCCAAGATGGTCTCTTTGGCATGCCCCCTCCTCTTGTGCCGGCCCATCTTAGCATCAACATAACTGGTTTGTTCCACTTTGGAGTAAGCTGTTGGGGGAAGAATCAGTTTTGTGTTGTGTGTTTCCTTGACTGATGAAGCCTTCTGGATTGAAGGTGAAACATTTCAGCAAAAAAAAAAAA